TTGCTCACGACGCCTCTGCCACCGAGGCCGTGACTGCCACGATGCGCTATACGCCCCTGCATCTGGCCGTGGTATGTGCCGTGGCCCATGCCGTTGACGCCAGCTTTGCGGAGCGGCTGGCCATTGTGGCGAGTGTGGGTCGAGCAACACCGGCTGCCGTCTGGCAAGCACTCAACGTTTTCCGTCATTCCGTGTGGACCGCTGCCATCCAAGCCAAGGACGTCCGTGTGTGGAATGCGTTGGTTCAAAGCTGCCCAGATCTCAGTGCCGCTACAGAGCGTGGCGAGACCCCCTTGCACGTGGCTGCTCGTGCTGGCCGCGCAGACATGGCCGTTGCTCTGTTGGAGGCCAAGGTGGCTATTGATGCGCCAGGCACCATGGGTTGCACGCCTTTGCACCTGGCCGTGGCCACCGCTGCTTTTAAGACCTACGATGATTTTGAGCTGGCGAGTCAACTCATACAGGCTGGCGCAAATGTTCTGCAGCAGGACTCACAGGGCCGCAATGCCCTGCACTATTGCTTTGTGCGCAACCCCCTGCAGGGTCCCGTGATGGAGCTCACCTCGCGTGACCGCCGCGACCCGATTGACATCATCAGCGATCTGGTTCCTCTCATGCATGAGGGCATGGGCGCGCGCGACGCCTGGGGTCGCACGCCCCTGCACTACGCCGCGCAAGATGGCAGCCTAGTGACGGCCAAGTACATGTTGGCCCACGGCAGCGATGCATCCATCATGGATCAGGACGGCAACACCTGCTTCCAGCTCGCGCTCATTGCTGGTCACTCAGACTTTGCCACCTTTGTCATCGACCTGATTGATGCCAAGCACGCAACCGCGACTTATCGCACCGTGACGGAGCGCGACGTCTCCGGATCAGCCGATGATGCCGATGGCAGCGGGGACGAGGCGGATGACGACGGTGACAATGATGACCACGCGAGCGCCGGTGGTAGCCAGGCTGACAAGGCTTGCTTTGTCGCCAAGCACTATGAGGTGACCAAGGTGGCCGAGGGCAACTTTTCCCTGGTGGCGCGCAAGGGTTACAAGGGATTGGCTTACATTCTCATGCAGCGTGGTTTGGACATCGTCTCTGCGTTCAAGGACGCCGTCCGCGCCAACTCTTTTGAGCTGGCGTCGGCGCTCATTCGCAAAAGCGACCCCACCAAGGTCGTCAACCTGCAGGATGAGGCTGGTAACTCACTGGCTGCCATTCTTGTGGGCGCCACGGGGGCCACCAACAAGTCCTTGCTGCTGTTGCAAACCCTTTTGGCCAAGTACGGCTATAGCCTGGATGCCTGCAATGCGCACGGGCAAACCACTCTGCACTTGGCCTGCTATCGCCAGCACGCCGATTACGTGCAGCTTTGCGTGTCGCAAGGCCTCGACCTGACCTTGCGTGACACCGATGGCTGTGACGCTCTCATGCACGTTTTCAAGAACCGTCGCATCCAACCCCACGTGCTGTGCCTCCTGCTCTCAGCATCGGCCGACGTTGACATTGACTCCTGGGCCCAAGTGCCGAGCACCGATGTTTTTGTCGATCCCGAAGCGGCACCCGAGGACCAGGCTGTGATGCGCCTGCCCCCTTTTACCCGCGTTCTGACGGCTGCGGCGCAGATCGCCACACGCAAGCCCTTTGATGTGACCCATGAGCTGACACAGGCGGGTAACGACGTTCAGGCGTGGAGCTCGGGGCAAAAACACAGCCCCGTCTTCTCAGTCTTGGTACAGCTGCTGCAGCGCCACATGTCGTACGATATCTGCGCCGAGCGTGACCAGCCGGTGTTCTGGGCTCTGGTGGCTGACCCCAAGGTGGGTCTGACTGGCGTGCAGGTCGTGCGCCAGCTGGCCGAGGCCTGCGGACATCCTTTGCCGCTCAGCCTGGTTTATGAAAAGCGCAGCTTGGCCGACGTGATCCTTCCGGCAGAGGTGAACGGCTTTGGGTGCACCGACGTGGTGCCGCTGATTGAATGGCTCATGGCTCATGACGTGTCGCTGAAGGAGCCGCTCTTCCTTTCGGCCGTGGGCCAGCGCGCAGATGCGTGGACCTTGGATCGCTTGCAGCAGATGGGCGTATCCTGCACAGCACCGGCATCGACGCCGGAGCGGGTGGTTGAGGCGCGTCCAGGCCCACCCAGTACGGATCCAAACCTGACCATCAAGTCGGACGAGGCTCTGATGGCACTCGAGGGCACGGAGCCCGAGCTTGGGGCGAAACACGAGGTGGATCCCCTCTCCCAGCTCCAGGACTTGGGACAGCTGGTGCACGGTGAAGATGGCGAGTTTTACGACGTCAAGCTGACCATTACTGACGTAGCCTATGGATGGATGGGGCGCAACGACTTTTACCGGATGCAGGTTATCCACAACACGGTCCAGGTTGGTTCTTTTCTCCACTTGACGAGTTTGGGCGGCGGGGGCGTACAGGACTACGGGAGATCTGTGCCTTTTGTGGGGCTCTCTCTCTTCTTCTTCTTCTTCTTCTTCTTCTTCTTCTTCTTCTTCTTCTTCTTCTTCTTCTTCTTCTTCTTCTTCTTTTTTTTTTTTTTTTTTTTTTTTTTTTTGGTTGTTTGTTGCACTCGTTGGTCTCAATTCATTCATTCATGCAAGACACTGTCTTGCTCGGCCTTGAAGCGAGGGCCGACGACTTGCTCACGGGGATTGCTTTGACGCTGGTGGTCTAGGAGTTGTACATTCTTTGGACACGTTGGGGCCGAATCGGCGATGATGGTCAATTCCAACGCACGCCCTTTCCGTCAGAGGAAGAGGCCTGCAAGGAGTTTGAAAAGGTATGCCGTGCACGCGCGCGCGCGCATCACAATGCAGAGGCTTCAAGCCCGATGTTGGTATTCATGAGGGTGCCTTGTGGTCATGGTCGTGGCATAGATCTTTCGCAGCAAGACAGGCAATAATTGGGCAGAGCGTCATCAGTTCCAGCACGTCAAGGGCAAATACATGTTGCAGCGACTCGACTCGTCGTCTCTGGCCGATCGGCAACGGGCGACATTGGCTTTGACTCGGTTCGACCAGTACAAGGCCCCGACTGCCAAGGTTATGGACGCGCGCCTGACCCTGTTGCTGCAGTGTATTCTGGACTATGAGGTGCTACAGCATAGCCTTGTGGACGATGCCAGCGGGTTTGAGCTACCCTTTGGTGGTGTGGCACCGCGCAAGCAGGTGCAGGAGGCCCTGGCCATTCTCGAAGAGATCTCCAAGGTCTTGGCCAAGGTGGCTGACTTGCAGCGCTTGCCCGTCCCCGACATGAACGCCATCTCTGCGCAGAACAACAAGGTGTTGGAGCTCACGAACGATCTCTACCTCAAGGTTCCCTTCAGCACGCCCTCGGGCCGACACAGCTATGGCAACAAGCTCAAGATTAAGGACGATGCCGCCGTGCGCGGCATTGTTGATATGCTCAACCGTGTGCATGTTCAGAACCGGGCTGCCGACGTGCTGCTCGTTACTCGGCACCTCACGCAGTCGACTCAGGCCAAACCCTATGAGACGGCTCTGGCCTTGACGGGCTGCAGCATCGAGCCCCTGGACCGGGCCACGGATACCTTCAAGGCCGTATTGGCCCATTTCGAATCCATTCCAGGACAGCAGGATGTGGAGCCGTGTGCTGTCTTTGCCATCAATCGTCGCGGCGAAGATGAGGCTTTTGCTCCTCATGCACAATCGGCGCGCAGCCTGCTCTGGCACGGCACCAACTCGGTAAACGTCCCGGGTATCCTAGTGGAAGGTACGACTTTTTTTTTTTTTTTTTTTTTTTTTTTTTTTTTTTTTTTTTTTTCCCATTCCCTTGATGACCTGTTGTCTGATGTCCGTGTCTCATTGCTCCTTGGTCGCGATGGTATAGGCCTGCGTTGTGCACCACCTTCAGCGTTCACCACTGGCCATGCCTTCGGCAAAGGCGTGTACTTTGCCGATGTTTGGACCAAGAGCTTTGGTTACACTTCTTTTGCTCACGGCTCGTCACCAGCAAGCAAGCACGCCTGCCTGTTTCTTGCCGAGGTGTGGCTGTCTCTTCTACTCGTCTTTTTTTCTTTCTTTTTTTATTTTATTATTATGATACGTTGTTGTGGTTGAGCCATGAGCTTTGGCCAATGAAGTAAGTGGATGAGCTGTCTATGAATCCTGATTATCAAACCTGCTTCTTGACAGGTGGCATTGGGAACTGTGGAGCAGCGCACAAGTGTGCAATCGGAGCCACCGCAAGGCGGGTGCAATTCGATCCAGGGTGTGGGCCAAACCCGCCCTAGCAAGGTGGGTACATGATTCCGCCATGTTCTGTTGTCACACGCTGCGTGCTGCCTCGCGTCTACGCATGCCATGGGGCATGCTCATTTATTATTTTTGGCTCATCTCCCGACGTCATCCTTGTTCGTTGGTATAGGCCATTGCGACTTGGGATGGCGCTCGCTTGGCGATGGGGCCCTTGGAGCACGTGGCCAACAGCGATGCCACCCTGCACCACTCGGAATACATTGTCTTTGACTCAACGCGCATTCGCCTGAGATACCTCGTTTTGGTGCGAAGCAAGGACAATGTTTCAGCGTGAGGAACTGGTGTGCCAGCCCCGGAGCGTGCTGTCCTGTGTGGTGCTGCGTTTTCCATGTGTGTGACTTGATGATGCCACTCTGTTTCAAATGCCACGCCGCGTCTCTCGTGGCTTGCGAACAGTTTGCACATCGCTTGTCCGTGTCACTGTGGTTGTGTGAGTGAAAATTAAACCACGATAAAGTTGAATTTCTCACAATGTCATTTCGATTTGAGTCATGTCCGGAGCGGGTGGGCACAGCTCACTTCATCAGGCAGCCTCATGGCTCTCCATATGGCTCGGCCATCACTGGCCCTCGAACCTGCGCTGATCATGCTTCATGCTTCATGCTGGCCTCAGGCCACGGTTGCGTACTCGCGCTTGCTTGAGCACGGCAGATGAGAGGGGAAAGGGCAGATTGAGAGAAGCGGGATGAGTAGCAATGCTTCCCGTCGAGACTATTGGCGTAGACGTAGAAGAATGGCGTAAAACTCTTCAAATTGAATCTTGCTATCATGATTCACATCGTTGTTGCGCAAGAGTCGTTCAAGCTCCTCCTGCACGGCAACACAGGAGGAGGGTTTCACTTGAGGCACGTTGTGCGGACAGATGGCATTCGACAAGCAACGTCACCAACCTCAGTGACGGTGATGTTGAGTTCTCGGGTGACCTTGCGAATGTCATTGATGGTCAGGTAGCCCTTACTTTCTCCTCCAAGTTCGTTAAACAGTTTCTTGGCCTCCTAGTAGAAGGCAGAATAAAGAAGCAAGCATGCGTCGCGCGAGATGGTGTCAGTCTTGAATGGCTATTCACCATTGGCTAGTCGCTGCAAACTTGCTGCCAACCCATCAAAGTGTGGCTGTGAAATCGGAGCAGGAATCGGCGATTGTGTGATACCTTCTTATCTTCATCAAAGAGCAGCAGGGGCACCATGCCCAAGAGACAGCCCAGGATGATGCCCAACATGCTAAAAATGGACGAGGTCCAGCGCGTGTGCTTGTGTTCACGCTGGTTGTCGCTCAGCTCGGGGTCCGGAATGCCCAGGCGATGGGAGAAACGCTGAGGTACAGGCGAGGAACAGGCCGTGAGGCGCAGCGCAACAGGCGTAAAAGTACAGAGACAATGCCATACCTCAATGGTGTTGCTTAGACCGAGGCCGACGACATCTGAGATCAAGTTGCCCAAGCCAGCCGCCGCCTAGACAGGGCAAGCTGGTTAGTTGAGGCCAGGCGAAAAGGCTGCAAAGCTGGCTGCGCGAGCATGTCTTCAGCATGTACCATCGTCGAGATGTGGAAGGTACTTCCAATACTAGCATCGATGCTCTCTCCTGTTGGTATTCAATGCATTATTTGAGAAGAAGCAGGTGTATACAGACTAGGCGGCATGTCGCCTAGTCTGCAGGTCTTCTTGCCAAGGGTTGGTGCTGTGTGTGCGGGGGGGCAGGGCTACTCACCAGCTGCGATCATGATAAAGTTATCACAAAAGCCGAAACCAATCATTGGGACCATCTGGGCCAGTCCCACGTACCATAGCTAAGAAGCAGGCACAGATGAGACCACTCATAGAACACGTGCAGGTGGTTGCTGCCACTGGCGCGTCGTTCTCGTGCGGACACGTGACATGACTAGCAGACGCGAATCAAGCGCGGCGCCTACCTGACGCCGGGTAGGTGGATCTGACACGATGGAAGCTGTCTTGTGAGCGTACCACTCTGTAAACTCACTAACCACATGCGTGTGAACAAGCCATGGTGAGCTGTGCAGAGAGGCAGTGCCAGGCTCAGTCTGGCCCCGCATAGCCACCGGCAGAACGGACCTGGCACTGATGACGCCATCCTTGTTCTTGTCAATCGTGTGAAAAATGCCGTCTATCGATTTGCGATCTGCTTCGTCCAGCAGGCTGACCAAGCCTTGAGCCAGCTTGTTGCGGGTGGCCGTGTCGCAGGTGCGCAACCAGTGTTGGATAGCCTTTGCATCTGCAGCTGCCACGTGCTGTGCAACTTGGTCTAAAGATCCCTCGCTTGGCGAGCTTCGGGAAGACTGAATGTACACGTCGAGCAAAAATCAAAAGGTGAGGCAGTCAGCGCGCTATGCACCCATGCCTGCGGCTTTAAAAGGCAAAAAAAAAAAACCACAGCAAACAGGCCACTCTCTGCGTCTCTCTCCTGCTTCTTCCGCCTTCCTTTAGCTTGCGCGTGCGCTTGCTCTTGTGCTATGCCCCCTGGCAGAAAAAAAAAAAAAAAAGGAAAGAAAAGCACGGTGATTTGGCAGCAGTCGGGGCCAGCATACTTGGCGAAAGTAGGCTTGTTGGGTGGCATGTGAGCTGCGACGCTGCTCAGCCACGGCACGGACCAGACATGGCCGCGATCGGCCAATTGGCCGACTCGCCACTGCCAGACGTCGCCACATGATCCGATTGATCGGCTTGTTTCTATCCCAACGCCACGGGCGAGAATAAGCTTTGACACAAACCAGTCCATACATCCAAGCCTTCAGAACCCCCCGCTTCCCCCCACATCTTCACCCACGATCGCCGGGTGCTCAAGGGGCGCCAACCCTCCTTCCCTCACGCCACCACCGGCACCGCGTACTTACTCACGTGCAGAAGGACGAGAGAGCTCCACCGCTTGTGACGACCCCTCCTTGCTGCTTCAGCAACAAATGTCAGATAAAGTAACCCGATTTGTCAGAAAAACGGTGAGAGAGAGAGAGAGAGAGAGAGAGAGAGGTGAGAGAGAGACACACACACACACACACACGGACACACACACCGAGTCGTTTTTTTTTCTCCATGCTGAAGGCAGGACGGACACGCCTGGGCCGGATCGGCTGGGCCTCCTGTCTGTGACACGGGCCATCATGATCAGAAGGGACCCGCAGTTGTTGGGAGCGCTTCTGATGCTGGCCTCTAGCGTGTTTATTCTATACTTTGTCTGCTTGGACGAGCCTGGAGGCCGATACGTTGTTGATGCCAAGCCGCTGGTGAGATGCCGGTCCCAATGCCGGGGCTGGTGCCGAGTTGATGTCGGCAGCAGCAGCTGCTCCTGCTGCGCACCATGATGGTTTCATATTGCTAGTCATGAATGCATTACGACTCACTGTGCGATGTACACCAACTCATCAGGACGTGGAGGTTGAAGAGCCGACCGTGCTCTTCTCACTTTTGGTGTCAGCACCGACGAACCTGGCTGAGCGCCAAGCTGTGCGTGTCAGCTGGGCTCAACACCAATCTCCCACGTATGTACCACGTTAGGGCTCAAACAACTTTGATTGACCTTTTGCTAGACTCGCCAACTTGCACCACCTTCTTCTACAGCGCTTCTGTCACTCCACGGTCCCTCTCACATGCCGCGGCGTTTATGCAGGCGGCATCGATATGGCTTTTTCATTGGCGTTCATGGCCTGAGTCCAGAGCTGCACGCCAACTTGACAGCCGAGAACGAGAAGCACGCTGATCTCGTTCTTTTACCCGACATCTCGGAAAGCTTTGGTAAATTGACAGCCAAGGTCCTGGCAGCGATGACTTGGATTGATCGCCATCCCACCCTACGCCCACGCTACATTTTCAAGGCAAGTCCTTCGAGCTTGACTTTTTGGGTACACTTGGTGCAAAGTCACGCCTGAATGATGGCTGTTGCTGGTGCTCACGGAAATGGTGACCATGCTGAATACAATCTGGACAATTCAGGGCGACGACGATACATTTTTACGCGTAGAGCAAATGATTGATGAGCTACTCGCACGCCCAGAGTCTACTTCGTGCGTATGATTATGTTCCTGCCTCCGGTTGGGCTCTTGTGCTTGCCACCATCGTCACCATCTTTCTCTTCTCCGAGAGGCTGGCACCGTCGCCATCATCTGAATCTTTTGCTCATCTTGCTAGCGGTGCCTTTTTTTTTTCCATGTTGCTCTGCACTTATCCATTCATACTTTTGGTGTTCTGCAGCTACTATTGGGGTTATTTTGATGGGCGCGCTCCCGTCAAGCGTTCGGGAAAGTATGCGGAAATGGTACGTTCAAAATGCTCCCTTTTTGGTTGTTGCCCCAGTTTAGCTTTGCTTTCCTGCCAAGATCAGGATGCGCAGTCCATGGTTCGAGGATATCGGCGCCACTCAATCCCTTTGGGTGTGGTTTAGAACTGGAACTTGTGCGACCATTATCTTCCCTATGCCCTTGGGGGTGGCTACGTCCTTTCGCGTGATTTGGTGGCTTTTATCGCTCTAATGGGCCCACAGTTCCGCACATTCAACAACGAGGTGGGTTACAACGACGTTCAAGTCGTCGATACTACCCCTCGGCATGTCAGTCAAGCTCGTATTGATCCGTTTTCTTGCAGGATGTGAGCGTAGGTTTGTGGTTGTCCCCACTCAACATCACACGGCGGCACGACCAACGCTTTGACACAGAGTGGAAGGTGAGTGTACTGCAGCATGGCGGCATGCCATCCTCTCGTCTGCGTGCATTTCTTGCACAGTCCTGAGTGGCTCATTTGTCCTGGTCTTGTGATTGTGACGCTGGCTGTTGGGCGTGCACCACCAGTCGCGTGGTTGCTTGGACGAGTACATTGTGCTCCACAAAAGGTCACCCGCTGACATGTATGAACTGCGCCTCAAGGTCAGCCAGTGCTGGTAGTTCTCACCCGAACACGCCCTCGCTGCCCGGCCTCGAATAATCTAATGCATCACACGATTGCTGGGTGCACGTGGTAGATGCAAGCTTCACACGGCACTAGGTTATGTGAGCGTGCATATCGCTTGCGCCCAGCCTACCATTATCGGTGGGACGTTCTGCCTTCAGACTGTTGCCACATATCATAGCAAATGGAGTTTAGAGTTTTAGCGTGATGACCCTTTCTCCTGGCCGACGGGAGTCATCTATGTGCATATCGCAAGTTGGTTTGTTCGATGAGAGCTGCAGTGTTTAGAAGGCGACGTCAAGTGTAGTAGGAGCAAGCCTGTGCCAGATGTTCTTGTCCAGGCTCTTGACCCCTGGGAAGCACACTTTTGAGCGGTCAAAATTGACTTTTTTTTGTCTCATGGCTTTTGTCGCAGATCAATTCTACAACTTTCGTTTACATGTCAATGGATGGTCAGAGCACGGCCCAAGCGGAGATGGGGAAACGGACGAGGAGAAGTGGTCCAGTCAAAACTCTATTCGTAATATCAAAGTCAGAGTCACGGGACGATCCTTGCTTATTGGGCCTCCGTGCGCACCGCCACGGGGCCAACGTTGTCACCGGTGGCCTTGTTGTGGGCGTTGTGCGAGCCGTCGCAAAAGGGAAACTTGTTCGACTTCCAGCAGCGGCAGAGATAGACCTCCTTGTCCTTCACGGCAACCTTGTCCACAATCTTGTCCTCGTCGAGTTTGATCTGTGTCAACAAGCGACGAGGGGTTGAGCACATGGAGCGGATCAGGGCAATACCGGCGTACAGTTCAAATCTGCCCCCTTGACAGCTCGTACCTGAGTGTTGACTCGGGCCGGGGCAGGAGAGGCGGGCAGGAGGTGGACGACCACCATGAGGACCATGCTGACGACAAGAAGAAAGAGGGGAGCAATTTGCACCATCTCTTCAGTGCTCAGCTCAGCAAAGCCGGCCAGCGTATCCGGGATGGGCAGGGTTTGCAGATACAGCGGAAGCTCCGCAGTGAGGTAGGTCTTGACACAGTCCATCTTGTCAGTTCAACTTTTTGACGGTTTGCACCCTGAACACGTCAATCAGCGAGCATGAGTTGAACCAAGGCACGTCATTGCCCCATGCCTCTTGCGCCTTTCAAGCATCTAGCTTCCATATCCCTGCCGCCCTCCTCTTTGCGATTTGAGCCGCTGCCTTCACACACACCTGTTCGAGTCGAAAACAAAAACTTGTTTGAAAAAAAGAGAGAGAGAGAGAGAGAGAGGACAGAGAGAGAGAGAGCTTGAGAGAGAGCTTGAGAGAGAGCTTGAGAGAGCTTGAGAGAGAGAGAGAGAGAGAGAGAGAGAGCTTGAGACAGAGACAGAGACAGAGACAGAGAGAGACAGAGACAGAGACAGAGACAGAGAGAGACAGAGACAGAGACAGAGACAGAGACAGAGACAGAGACAGAGACAGAGACAGAGACAGAGACAGAGACAGAGACAGAGACAGAGACAGAGACAGAGACAGAGAAAGACACACACACACACACATGATGAAAGCGTTTCCAACGTGGGAGGAGGTCGGGATTGCAACAAGCACAAGCACAGGCACAACACAAAACTGAAATGTCAGACAAACGATGCTTCGGCTTTTGTGTCAATTTTCTCTGACAACTTCAGTCGGCCGCTTCGACCAACACGTGTGTGTGTGCGTTTGGAACGGCAGAGGAGCGCCATTTTCTCCGCGATTGGGTCCTGCTTCGCTGCCAGTTGGTGTGGTATTCTTCCCCAGGTGCTTGGGTTGACAGGGCCTGTAGGTGTGTGGCGGTTGAAGCTTGCTGAGCTTCATACCAAGCTGTGGCTGTGACTGGGAGCTTGCTGCAACCAATCAAACATGGTGAGTTGAGCTACGCACCAAAGGCCTGCTGCTTGTGCCCCTGTCCTGATGAGACAGACTCACGCTTTCGGGTGAATTTGGCTTTTGGGTGAATTTGGCATTGATGGCATCACTGCCCATATCAATCAGGGTCGTACGGGAAAGGCTCAATCCAAAAATGCCGTCAAGGCCAACGGGAAGCTGATTCATCCGCACTCACGCAAGGCCAAGCGCATGACGGCCAAGCTGCATCGCGATGATCGCATGTTCGAGTGCGTCAAGCGCAGAGTGTCTCTTCTATGCCTTTGAGTGCCTTCTACAGCGTCTGGGTTTGCTTCTTCCAGCGTTGTTCTGTCGCCTCTCAACTCACCATTGCTTCTTCCGCCCGCCCCCTCCTTTGCTTGAATTCCCGCACCTTCAGATTGGCCAAGCAGAGCAACCAGAAAGAATATCAGCAAGGTGCAGCCTGACCTGCTTGCACCAACACGCCCAATCTGAGGCTCCTCCACCCCTTCGAATCACTCTAGCTCTGCTCTCACTTGATCACCCGTGCCAAAAACGGACTGCTTGGCAAACCCTAGCTCTCCTGATGCGTTGGTTTCAGGAGCAACTTGTGCCAGGCCAGTCTCATTACGAGCATCACGAAGTTGTCGCCATGATTGAAAGGTGCGCATGAACTCCTTTACAATGACCGTGGCTTGTATCGCTATTTCAGCCAGGGGGTGGGCTACAGTGTGCCCCTTCTCAGTTTTGTTTTGGTGCCACACGCAGATATCTTCATGAGCGTGAGCAAGAGGTACAGGCGCTAGAGGCCGAGAAGGTTGGTTTGCTGCGTCCCTGCGTCATGGTGTCATGTCCCTTCCCTGCGTCATGTGTCATGTCCAGTTATTCACTCCTGCCAACGTCACGACTTGCAATCTCAGGGTAAATCTGCAACCGCCATTGGGCTGCGCTCTCGTCTGGACACCAATCGCGGCGAGTTCAAGAGTCAAGGCGGCTTTGGTATGTTATATACATTCATTGTTGGCACACCCCTCATGCCATCATTCATGACCAAGAGGAGCCCACTGCTCACATTTGCGGTCAATTCGATGCGCTCCTCGTCCGTCTCGCTCCCCAATCTGACATGCTTTGCGCGCATGCTCGTGCAGTTGCTCCGGATTTGACTCGTGCTGACGTGGTCCATCGACTCAGGTAGGCGCTTGTTCGTGTTACGAAGAATTTCGATTCATGCCGGACAGCCGGTGTTGTAATCCTGCTGTCCTTTCTCTAACCCCCCTCCCCCCTTTTTTTTCCCATCTCTCGTAGTGAATGGCAGGGCGAGCTCAAGTTCTTGTCGGCGATTGCCACCAAGGGGTTTCGCCAGAAATGAAGTGCTAGCTTGGCCCCTGGATGCGGTTTGCCTGGGTTGCATGCCTTTCTTCAAGAGTTACCAATGCACGCCGTGCTCGAGCTGGTCTCGACGGCCGTGCTCACTTCCTTCGAGATGAGCAAACCAGATCAAAGATCTAGTTTTGCAATTGTACCTGCCGTTGGTGTCTTCTTGTAACACAATTATGCCTCCTTGTTCGTTCTCTGTTTGCGCGACAATCAACGCCGACTGTGCTCTTCGTTCATAGAATTGGCTAGGTAGGAAAAGGCCCAGTGACTCACACACCGCACACAATCGTAACCACCTCCACCTCCACACACACACATACACACACACATCGATACAGTCAGTAATGACATTGGCGGCACTCATTAGGCTTCGAGGCCCGCCTTGGCCATGGCCAAAGCACCCTCCTATAACAAAGCATTTCACAGCGGGGTCAGGCATAGTTGACCTGTCGCGTAGCATGTTCCCACGAGTCGAAAGGATGTAAAAGAAAGCAAAAAAAAAAAAAAAAAAAAGTGCATCCAACGTACATAAGTCTTGTTGCCACCTGTAAAGCCACTGGCGTGCACGAAGGTGGCGCCTGCAATGCCCGACTTGGCTTCGAGCTGACACAGGGAGATAACGCAGGGTGAGACATGACGCTTATGGGGACCTGACCTTCAGCAGTGATTGGCAGCATGGGGTGGAATCACAGAAGAGGGGATGCAAGTACACAGTTTTACGTACATCTGCGTCGCGCAGACCGCGCCAGGCCTCCGGAAGGGCCTTGCGGCACACAAAGGAGCCCGGGGTAATGGAGGCGCAGAGCACGCGCCAAGCATTGTGGCTGTCCACGTACAGGGCATACTTGATGTTGATTGGCTTCTCCTCTAGCAGGCACAAGAACATGGCATGGGGTGTGAATTGACGTGCACGTTGCACGCGGGATAAGACCAAGCGCACGGCTAGCAGCTCCACCTACCAGTGCCCATCTCAGCCTCGAGATCGTAGAGATGAGATTTCCAAGGGCACCAGATGGGCAGCTTGATAATCTCGCCGCTGGGATCAACCTTTGTTCAGGCAATCGGAGGGCACGGTAGTATGAGTTGCAGACGAAGGCAGGGGTTGAAGCGAGAGTGAGTCAAAGTAAAGCTCAAGCCGCAATCTGGGGTGTCGGTCATCGTGTTTGGGTTGCATCATGGGGGAGGGTGTCGCGGCAAAGAGGAGGATCGTGGGGTGATAGGAATGGGCATGGGTACCTCGAAACGAGTTTCCAGGGCCTCCTTGACCACGTCGCGGGCAGGGAGCCAGGATTCGTAGTAGCTCTTGAGAACTTCAACAAACTCACCACCGACAAGGGCCATGGCTCGCTCAAAGCGAGGCTGTGTCAAGCAAAGGTCGGATGAGACGCATGCGAGTTTAGCAGCCAAACAGCATCAACACCACCACCACCACTACCATCAACACCACCACCACCAACAAGACCACCAACAAGAGGAATAACGGTTAAGCCACCAAACATGAAGAAGCATGGTCAACAGACACCATGTTTGAGCGCGGCCAAAGACAAACCATCATGTCAGTGTCGGTTTCCTTCCAAGACGGATTGATGCGGCCCACACGCGTGCTCACAGTCGAGCCAATGTGATACCTGAGCCACCATCCACGTGCATGAGCCAGATGGCAGAGAAATGCAGGAGCCGCGGTGGGACCTTGAAAAACGCTGAGACTACATCGCGGTAGCCCTGGTGCAGCCTGAGAACTCAAAAAAAAAAGAAACCAAGAGAGGACCGTACTTGGGGGAGCCCTCCTCATACTGGGACACGCCGTTGTCGACAGCATCAATCTCCTCAACAAAGCCACCGTACATCTTGGAAAAGAGGGTATCGATCTGTTCCGCCGAGGCATCGGGCAGAATGGCCGCAATAATGGCCTTGCCAAAGTGGTAGTACACCAGACCGGCACTGCTGAGACGAGTGGACCATCGGTACTTGCCGCCAGAGAGCGTGGTCATCGTCTCCTGGAATTCACTACACGATGGGGGCGATGAGTGAAGGAGGGGCGGTGCAAGCCAAAGCAGGAGGACCACCGAGAGCTAGGGAACGAGGTGCCAACCGCTGGTGATGGTCGTAGCGGTGGGTGGCGGGGTCGAAGACGGCGCCCACATCGACCACAATGTCGCATGCCTTGAGTTTCTCCAAGTCACGGGTGCGCACGATCTCAGCATCCTAGACCACAAATCTTCCGTCAGCTAAATGTGTGCGGGATCAGAGAGGAGGCGGCTGCCCTTCATTCGACCGACCTGGTACTCGGGAAGACGCTTCAGGAGGAAGCAGGCCAAAGCTTCGTCACAGTGGAAAGTTCCATCGTGGGTGCCGATCTTGACCATGGTGCTGTTGGGACGCTTGGCAGCAGGCTCCATCCAGCTCGTGGTAAAAAGTGCGGTGGAAAAGCAGGAAGAGGCTCGAGTCACGCTGGGGATCCGACCAAGACCAATCAGAGCAGAGCGCCACACGTTGAACGGTAGCAGAAGGGAGAAATGCCCGACGACATGACCTCGTGTGTGCTGCGTTCTGCTGGTGGAGCAACAACCAGATGCAGAGATTCGGAGAGTAAATGCAGACTTCAATAAAGACGTAGTGTAAGAAAGAGCAGTACCTTTCGTACCTTTCGTACCTGCTGTTTATGCTGACATATTCACGCTCGTCTACTTTTGGGGGGTGGTTTGCCTCTAATTATAGTCCAGTCTGACAAAGTTACGCCGGCGAGCAGTCGCAACACATTTTCAAATCAACCCCTTCAATCTAACGTGAGCTGGCTTGTTTTTTTTTTTCCTTGTGTTTGTGGAGCGCGCGCTGCCGAGGGCGGTGGGGTGGCGTTGGCAGGTTGGCTGTCTTTGATATGGCATTGCCTTGACTGACATATAGGGCCAGCAACCCGTCCATCAGAAAAGCACGGGCTGTTGCGGTGGATTGCTCGAATTTGAAGGCGTTTGATCTCACTTTGCCACTCTTGCTCTCGGGCGCCGCCCCTTTTCTTCACCGCAGCCTCAGCCTTCATATTGAACAGGCAATCAGTGCCGGTGATCTTCCAGGTCAACCGTGCTCACGCACCCTGTCGGCGCTTGAGGAGAGCGTGACTTTGATGCCTGACCTCTGATCTTGAGCACCGGCATCATGGTATCAGCTAAGCTGGTCTTCAACCTGCTGGCGGTGTCCTTTATCCTCTTCAACATTGCCACTGATTGGAACGTCTATCGCACGCTGGTTGAGGACGTGCAAAAGTATCGAAAGGTCGAGCCTGTGACGTCGCGGCCAACCTGCTCTTGCCTCTGCGTCAACACCACCCATTGTACTACTCCATTGAGCAGCGATCCCCTTTGCGACAGCTTACAGTTTGCCGATACACCCGGCGTCGGCGATGTCTGCCTCGCGTATGAGACGGTTCATGTGAACAAGCAGGGGGACACCTGCAACTACACCTGGGACTACGGTCGCTTCGATCACCTGCACGATGAACTCAATGAAACGCGCTGGGCCTCCCTCGTGCTCAATTGCATTCTGCTGCCATTCACCATCTTCTACATCATCCATCTGCTGCGCCAAATCATGCATGAGCCCACGGCCGAGGAGGATCTTGAAATGACCCACGCCACCGACCAAGCCACCAGTCAGGGCGTCATTAGTGTTCAGGTCAGTACGGCCTTCCTTCGAGTTTGGTTCTGATCCCAATGCCCCGAGCGCCTTATGCCTGCTGCACTTGTGCCACCCAACCCGCAGCCGAGCTCGTCGTCGACCGATGGCACGGTAGTCACCTCCATAGAGACCCAGCCCACCACGCAAAAGCGCAAGGGGGCCCTGTCTTCCGTCAATCGTCGCTTCGACCCGGAGACAGGGCATCGTGTTGAGACCATGGCCGACCACCGCAATAAGGGCATGATTGCCTCCAATGCTTTTCGCGTGAGTATCTGCCTTGGCGCTCACCCCTTTTTGGCCAACCAAGCCACACGATGCAATCTTTCATCGGACACGGGCTGCACCAGCATAAAAGTGTGACCACGCACACTTGATCTCACCTTGGATCTTGCTGGGTGCTTTGATGCCGCAATAGAAATTTATCCGTGTCCTTCATTTGCGCGTCATCTTCTTGATTCTGGAAGACTTGCCCCAACTCTTCATCCTCATGCGTTATGCCATCCTCGTCTATAATGATGATGGTCTACGCTGCTCAGCCTGTGTCGGTGACGGCCGCGAGTGCTTTGCGCGAAGCGGTGGCTCAAATCAAGCCATTGTAATAAGGTGCGACAGAACCCGTGTTTTATCTTTTTGTTTTTGTCCATCGTGTATCTTTGCATGTACACGGGGTTGTTGCACGTTCCACCTGCCTTCACCTTACATGGACGCACTCTTGGGGGTACCTGGTCCGTGCTGCATTGCCACAGTCTTGTGGCCACAGGTCTGACTTTTACCGTTTTGGTCGTGGATGTCATCATTCAGTTATTACGCACAAAGGTGTGTCTGGGCGGTGCACCGGCTGGCTCAGACATCTGCGGTTGAATGGGGGTTCGAATGCTCCGCAGCACTCGCACTCATGTCGCTGCGTCATGGCAGGAGGCTCATGAAGAGTTGCATCTGTGCTTCTTTAACACATTTTTCATCCTTCTCCTCCTTGTGGGCATCGTGTTTGCCCCACCGCTGATTTACCTCGCTTCAAGCGAGCTGTCACATATGCTGGATTTCAGGTGTGTCCACTCGTCGCCCGTCCTTATGAGCATGCGGCACGCGTGGTGCTGATAGGCTGGTGTCTGGCTCGTACATTATCTGCGTGGTCCAAAACTCATGCGTAACTTCTCATTCTGGCAGTGCGGCGGAGCGGGCTGGCGTGTATATTGTTGGGGTGGTGTGTGCGATCCCACCACTTCTCTTCTCCCTGCTGGGTGCAATCTGGGCATTGGAGGCGTGTGGTTGCGAGACGTCCGACTTTCTCTGTGGGCTGGCCTGCTGCTGCCTTTGCACGTCTTGCAGTGTTTCCGATATTTGCGACTGTTGCCAGTGCTGTGACAAGACCGATGGCGATGCGTGCTGCGGGTGTGACTGCTGCGATTGCTGCTAATGCCTTGCTCGACGATCACTGTACTCCAGCCTGTTCTCTGGTCTGAGACCAGGGGACTTTTGGGGACGCCATGCGCTAATGCCAGTCATCATGTGATCTGATAAGTTGTCATGAATCTTATTTTTGTTTGAAGCTTGTCGGCTCGTTCCCTTCCCCCACGTCACCTCGATGTTCAGAAAACATCAAGCGCCCTCGCCACAAAACACAAGCAGAGAGCCAGACAAGCGTGATGGATGGGGACGGAGCAACGTCAAACGTCAACAGACAGCAGGGAGGTAAAAGCTTCACGTGTTGACACTTGCAATTCAATTGGGTTGACAAGTTTCACACAGCCCTCAGGGCATGACGGCCACGTTAATGAGCATACTAGCTGGAACTGGCTTTGGAGGCCTCTTCGGTTTCAGTGCGTTCCTGACGAGGGATTTCGCTTTCGCCAAGAAAAGGCGTTTCCGCGCCCGTCGTGCCAATGACCAGGACGCCTCGGCGAAGGTCCAGGACGCATTGATGGCGCTTGAGCATGTCCAGGCCCAGGAGGACATCCATGGGTTGCTTCTCCAGGACAGAAAAGGAGGTAGGAAGATAGGCTCCGGCAATCTCAATGTCGGTCATGTGAATGCGACCCAAGATGCGTTGTTGGCCCACGCCCACGGCCATGCCCGAGTAGCGCTTGTCCATAAAGCGTGAGAGGCCACAACGATCGGCGCACGTTGAGCTCATGATGGTCATCTGAGCGCCCGAGTCCACAAACGCCCGCACAGCATGACCGTTGATGCGCATGTTAATGTATAGCATGATAACTGTACCGAAGCTCTCTGGCATGTATTCAATGGCGTCCTGGCGGTTCCGCTCGATATTCTCGAGCTGAATGAGCTCCTCAATTCGACGCTGCACCTCCACGTCCATGGGATTTGCGGCGGCTCGCCGTTCCAGGGAACGCAGCTCATCCTCGCGGTCCTTCTGAAGGCGATGGACGCGATTAAGAAACTCGGCGATTTTGGCCGTATCGTTCTGCACCACGGCGTCGGCAACGTCGGGATGGTTGACGCGGTACTGGGATAGCTCATAGGGATTGTTCAAGAGGCGTTGGCGAAACTGGGTAACCGCCGCAGGCGGCACTCCTGTGGCTTGGGGTCGTCGCGCACCTGCCCCGCCGCCAATCTGCCCCGCCGTGCTGGCCACCAAGCTCTGAATCAGCTTACTAAAATCTGGATTGGCCCCTGCACTCGACCCAGCCGCGGCACCTGAGCTCCCGGCTGGAGCATGAGCTGAGCGACTCGGTGCCGAGCCTGACGTGGCAACACTGGGAGGTGCATCAATGCCGAGCCGCAGCTCGACCTGGCCGCTCAAACCACTCCCCTCAAGTGTGGCCTCGTCTATCAGCAGCGTGCCGTCCGTCTTGACCAAAATGAAACGGTCCATGGCAATGTCCAACTCAACCTCGAGCAACACCTTGACACTCTCAATCGTCGTGTCGGCGTCGAGCTCCATGACGACGGCCTCGCGGCCCGTGGCGCGGATAGTCACCTTCATCATGAAAGAAATAAAAGCTGCTGTTGTGCTGTTGCTGTTGTTGTGTTGTTGTTGTTGTTGCTTTGTCAGACTTTTTTTGCCAAAAACCAAACCCCCCCCCAAAAAAAACAGGGTGACATCTGAGTTAATGCAGGAAAAGATGTCAAAGTTGTGGAACGGCAGGTAAACTGTAAGTGTTTAGACGTGCGGCAGGCGCTGCTGAGGAGGAGGAAGATGCAGATCGGGAAACTGGTCCAATTTCCGTGCTTCGTCTCATTGAGCGCTTTGATGATGATCAAGCGGATGAGGATGGATGAGTCACGATTGCGGCGTGGGACCAAGGTGCCATGGCTGCTCGTGCTGGTGATGGCACTGGGCCTGATGGTGGCGGTAGTGCCGGGGGTATCTGCGGCAGTCGGTACGCAGGGCATGAGGCAAGAGGAGAGCGTTGACTGCCGTCGCGTCGCTGAGACGCTGATGTACGCAGCTGCGTTGCAGCCCGGTGAGTGAGTGTCATGACAGCCTCAGCTCAGCTCAGTTTGCCAACCAGCCCGATCTGGATCGTGGTTCGCTGCTTTGCCATGCATACCACTCATGGCGCATCCCACCTCCCATGGCCTTTGCGCTAGAAACCGCCAAGATGTGGCAGTGGGCCTATGTACGTGCTCGCTCACAAGAATCCGAACAGCCCAAACTTCGCTCGCTCAGCTGCGCGCGCAAAGGCGGCGCGAGCCGCCTTTCAAGCTGAAGTCTGGTGCACGGCGCGCTGGGGATTGGGGCTAAGGACTTGAATCGTGCATGACCCCTCCGATGTTTCTTTACCTTGGGTGTTGGCAGGGCCAAGGCATCATGATGAGCACTGGACTAGATTTGGCCCAGCACTACGGCTGGACCAACTGGACGACCTTTTTCAACCAGCTTCTAGATGGCTTTGAGGAGACGCCCGGTCAAGTGGCAAATAGCGTTTTGAACAATATCACTATGGCCTTTGATCATGCCGTCGGTGATCGGATCGGCCTGTTCCCCATTGCCTACCTCACCCGCCAAAGTTATGGGTTTGGCAACGCAAATGATGCCGTTGTCATTCGCGGCATCATCGACGAGGTAGAGCTTGTCTGGGGCGCGGCCTCTCTGAAGATCACGCTCGGCTCTATGGCATGGTGCCACGTTCGGGTTGAGGAGTCCATCAAGCGTCGCGCTCATGCTGATTGCACTGGTTTATGATCTGGTTTGACTGGTGGCTAGTACATTTTACCGTACCCCTACCGCCTCAACGATACGGCGCGATGCTTTTCCCGTTTTGAAGGCTGGTCTGGGCAAGTGAGCAATGGGCCTTCTTTTGTCTGGGCAGGTCGGTTCGCCAGATCCGCGCCCATGCAGGCCCTGTAGCCAACGAGCTCGTTACAGATTTTGGGAAGGTCTTTGGGGCATTCCCTCACAGGTGACACCTCACACAACTACCCCCTTGAAACTGCAGATGACCAGTTTATGGGATTGACAGTCTTATCGCGCTACGCCAAGGCTACTCAAAGCAATGATTTTGTTTCCATGGCTGCGCACATGCAGCTGACCTACGCTGGTACGTCCAACCAGCTCGCGCGACCTACCTTCCACTACCCTGTGGCAAAAGTGCGCTACGATCCTCGGTCTGATGAAGCTTTTCCCTCAATCAGACATGCTCCAGGATCGGGGCCAGCACGGTGGCGTTGGTACAGGGGATGGCCTGATGTTTCACGGCTTTAACACCGCCACGGCTTCGGTGTCCTGCTGCAAGTGGGGCCGCGCCAACGGGTGGGTCCTTGTGGCCTACATGGAGGTAGGTTCGGCCTGTATTTAGACACCAAGGCCAGGTGGGCGTTTAGCAGAGCGACCGTGGCATGGAATCATGGCTGGGCTCCCCAATGTCGTGGTGATTGTTTGCTGCAGACCCTTGACGCAATGCTAAGCGTCAACGCAAGCCATGAGCTCCGTGCTCGGCTGACGGCCCAGTATCGGTCTCATCTCATGGCCATGTTGGCAGTACAAGCGGCCTCAGGTCGTTGGCACCAGGTACGCTCATCATCCTTGGCACGCACGTCACAACCCTTTGCTCACGATGGGGGCTGGGGTGCGCGTGTTCCGCTGGTGGTGCGGTGTAGGTTTTAAACGACACAACAACGTTTGAGGAGACGAGCGTGACGGCCATGGTTTTGATCAGTATGCTGCGCGCCGTCAAGCTTGGCGTGTATGAGGCGCATGAGCTGGACGCTTACATCCAGCACGCCTGGGCTGGACTGCTGGCCACAATTCAGGACGATGGCACCGTGTTGAACATTTGCTCGGGCTGCGGCATTCTGACAGCAAGCAGTGACTACAACGCCCATTCAACAGCATATAGCAATTCCCAACCAGGGCTCGGAGCGGTGTGGCGTGCTGTCTTTGAGTACGCCACCTACGAGCGGACCATGTGCACATCCTAGGCTCTTGATGCCTGACCACCCCATTCCCATTCTCATTCCCGTGGAATGGGCACTTGGGCGCCAGTTTTATATATTCCATTCTTGACAAGGCCATGCGAGATAGTGGACGGCCCTGTCTGAATTGACTGCTTTCCTTTTGCGGGGCTCGTGTGGGTGCATGCGCAACCGACTCAGACCTCGTTGGTTGCGGTCACGGCTGTATCGCAACCAAAAGCAACAAAAAAACAAACAAACAAAAAAACAAAAAGAGACATGGCACCAGCAACAATCAAAGTGGGTACCCGATGAGACTGGATAAGTGTGGAGGACAGGACAAGAGATGGAAAAAAAGGTCGAGTGGAGATCACGGTAAATTGTAGTCGCGAGCACGCTGAGTGGCCATGGCCGCAAGCAAACACACACGGCCGAATGGTCATCATGCGTGCCACATACACGGCACCAACTTATGCGGTAGCCTGAACAGGCTGAGCAGCGGCGACGGGAGCAACGTGGGAGATGGACTTGGGCTCATCAGGGATGTCCTCCTCCTTGGCCTCAAGGATGGTGATGGCATCGGGGAGAGGAGCCTTAGGACCAGTCTTGCCCGAGGGGTCGTGGGGCAGCATAATCTTGACCTTGATACCAATCATACCCTGACGCATGGGGACATGGCGCACGGCCGTGTCGATGTACTCGCGAGTGGGGTTACCGGAGGAGATCATGAAGCCGTCACCGAACTTCATGGCCTTGGCACGCTGGGCACGCAGCTTGCCGGAGACGATGACCTCGCAGCCCTTGGCGCCGCTCTCCATGACGAAGCGGACGACACCATAGCAAGCGCGGCGGACGGCGAGACCACCGGTCAGCTTGTAGCGGAGGTTCTCGCACTGAGCAACGGCACAGAGACCGCGGTTGGCGACCTTCTCAGCGAAGAGCTCAACCTCGTCCTTCTGGAAGCCAAAGCGCTTCTGGATAAAGGCGGTGAGCTCGCGAATACGGCGGCCCTTCTCGCCCAGGACGTGCTGAGTGCGGGTAGCCAGGATCACAATCTCAGTGCTCTTGGGAGTCTTCTTGATCTCCACACCGGCGTAACTGCAATACGAACCCCATAATACCACAAGGACGGTTCAATGTGAGGTCACGTGTAGATCAATGATCAATCAGGGAGCAACGGCTCAGCTCGGCGCACACATAGCCATGCACAACCACAATAACGATGGGGCACGGCATGCCGTGTCCGACGCCGTCGGGAGGAGGGGCAGCTCAATGCTCGTTTGGAGCCAAGCAGTCAAGCAGGATAATGATTAGCTTACCCATCCTCAGCCAGCTCGCGCATGAACAGCTCGTTCAGCTCGGCCTTGAAGACGCCATCGGCGACGAACTTACGCTTCTTGCTCATCTGGTGCTGGGCCATGGTGCCGTGATCTAAGCCAACACGTCAAATGGGGGCGCGAGTAGCAGGCAATCCGTGTCAGAATGGACAAATAGGCGCACGGGAGGTAGCTACATCGAGCTTGGAGGGTCAGGCCGTCGTCCGCCGGCCGGCCACATGCTGATGCTGATGCTGGCTCTCGTCTGTCCAGAGAACGGGTCTGACCTGCAGGTAAAAAAGTGGCGAGGGTTCAAATCTCGAGCACACGGGTATGTGGAAAACAGCTGTTTACACACATGACTTTTGGAGTGTACAACCGATCCCACTTTGAACTGTCAGACAAAACTTGTGGTCGAGCAGGACACGAAAGCTGTGAGGGACAACAAAATTCTCGAAGGAGCATGTGTGTGTCTTTTTGACTCTTTCCAACGAGCTGTGTGAGGCGCCCCTTCTTGGTCGGGGAAGGTGGCTGAACAACAAGTTTGCGAGCAAGACACAGGGCGAAGGAGCCATTGAGCGTGGGGACTGACCTGGTGCGTGAAGCGAACCATGTCTGCGCCTACCGCGGAGGGTGCGGCGGCGCCCGTCACCGCTGCCCCCGAGGTCAAGGCGGACCCAAACGACGATGTGCCGGTGCGACAACGCGTGTTTGTGGGCGGCTTGGCTGCGACATCCGATCACGCGGCCCTGGCCAAGCAGCTGGAGCGGTTTGGCAAGGTTCACGAGGTGGTACAGCCGAGCTCGGTGACCAATGACGTACACCCATATGCCTTTGTAACCATGACCATTGCGCCCAAGCAGCTGCGGCGGTTGCAAAACACCTATTCGAGTGCTCGCTGGAAAGGCATGCTGCTCAAAATTTGTCCTGGCAAATCCTTTTATCGTGATCGTCTGGTGGAAGAGGCCCGACAAGCCAAGCGCAACCTTCGCCGCCGCCGCCGGCGCTTGCATCGTGCTCTTCAAGAACGCGGTGTCTCAGGCTCGGTCGCACCGCCACCCTCGAACGAGGAGCTGGCTCAGCGCGAAGGCTGGGCCGTCGGCCGCTACTCGCGTGCTTTACCGACCATGCAGCTCTGGAATCCCAAGAAGCGCGAACCCTTTACGATTGATGCCAAACACGCCACCACCCGCATCAAGCGCCTGTTTAACCCCAAACATGATCATCGCGAAGATCCCATTCTGGACGCCGCGCTGTCCAGTCCCGTGTCGTGGTTCTATGAACAACCCACCATGACGCCTGCCGAGCGAGCGCTCGCACCCAAAGCAGCGGCAGAACAATCACACACGGGCACGACCACAGGGACAAGCGCCCCTCAGTCTACCACTCCAAAGCCTGTCCCAGCCCCTGCCCCAACGCCAGCTGCCATGGAGACAAGCAAGGAGCCTGCCTTGTCGGATGAGGACCGTGCACTGCGGGAGGAACACGCCATGCAACAAGCCGTTCTTGCAAAGCTGGGTCTCTTGCCAACACCGACACCCGATTCATCACCAACGCCCGCACCAGCATCAGCGCCTGCCGCAGGTGGTTCTGCCAAGGATACACTGACGCCGACTGCCGTCCAAGCTTCAGTCGCCACCACGGGTCGCGGTGCGTGGTCAAGTGCGCCACGCTTTGACCCAACGCGACCGGATGCAGATCAAATTGTGAGCGAACATGCGGCAGCTATGGATGAGGCAGCCGATAACGAGCCTAGGGACCTTGAAACCAAGCCGCCGGTCGAGGCACCCGTTGCCGAGGCGGATGCTGAGGCGACGCCGGCCGAACCGGAGGCACCGGCCGTGACTACTGAGCGGTTTGCCGAGGTCAAGGGCAATCTCTTTGACTCGATCAAGCCGGCTAGTGGTGACTGGCGCAACATGGAGACAGTGTCAACCTTTAGCTTTTTCGGGCATGCCAATGCCACGGACGACGATGCTAGCACGCCCGCACCTGACGCAGTCGTTCCCAAGGCAGGCAACCCAAGCACCAAGATTTCTGCAACGGCCCCCAGCTTTTCGGCCGTGTCAGCGTCTCAACTGCACCAACCGGCCTCTGTGCAGCGACCATCGTTTTTCATTGCCCAAGCAGGGCTTGATTCGTGAGTACCAAAATGGCTGGGATGTGATGTGATATTTCTTCTTGCCCAGCACGGTCATGAGCTGTCCAATCTAACCCATCTGCATCGCCCTTCTCCTTGATGTTTGCCCCAACTAGATTGCGCGCGGAAGGCGCCCTTTTCTGCCGCCAGGAGACACCCGAGGCCGTTACGACGCAGTGGCAGGCGACCAAGGGTGCGGTTCACAAGGAGTTCAAAATGCGGCACAAAGCTGCACTTCGGCGGCTTCGTCGCACCCAGCGCTCGTCGGGCGCGCCAGGGCGGCCCAAGGCTGCGTAAAACAAGCCAACTCCCTCGAGCTTGAGGGTTAAATTCTTAAGAGTACGGCCTTGTGCCGCTGAATCAACCACTGTGTGGACGTGACACCCTCGCTGAGGTCTTGAAAGCTCCAGTGCATACTCGAGTGCAGGGAACCACCTGGTAGACTCTGCATTATGCCAGCTCGCTACCGCCTGAATTGATTGATATGCCCACCCATTGCCCATTCACGACAATTTGAGAAACACACACACACACACACACACACACACACACACACACACACACACACACACACACACACACATTACGCATTAGGCACAAACGTCTGACAATCTCTCTTTGCGCACACACATGCAAGATGTCGCCAACAGCTTTCGGTGTCAGTGTGTTGCAGTCTGTTTTGATTTGACTACTGTACTAACCGTTCATTTGCTTGTTGCTTCACGACACCTCTTTTTAGCCAGCTCTTGCCTGCCCCTGATCCCAGCTTCTGAGCCCCCCCCCCCCCCCCCCCGT